GTGGGGTAAATATTAAAACCAATTTTTATAAAAATATTGAAGCAGTTCAGATTTTCAGCCAGATACCAAAACACAAGAAGAAAGATAAACTAATTTTTATTATGCAGCTTATTTGTGGCTCAACTTAGTCTGCAACATTTTTTAAAAATCTATATTTTGCGGAAAAAAATTTTTTTATTAAAAAAAAGTATGTATTTATTAAATTGAAAAAAATTTTAATTAATCGAACTTAGCTTCCGAAATCACTTGCTCATGTATTGATAATTTCAAATTAATCAAACTTCCAATCTCCAAATCGATAAAGTGAGTAGAATATTTTACTCACGAGTAAACAAAGGTGTACACGCAAATAAATAATTCTACTTTATACATTATCAATTTGGACATTGAAAGCTTTAGTGGTTTCAAATTTTAAAATTTTTAACTTAAAAAGTATGAACACATGGATTAAAACAAAATTTTTAAGTAGTGTTCCCTTCACTTTGAGCTGAAAAATTAAAAAAATAAGTTTGTGAAAGAAAGTCGATAATTGTAATTTATTTAAAAAAAATTTACCTGTACAATAGATAAAAAGGTAATAAACTGTCAATCAAAACTTAAACGTTTTCCAACAAGGTGGTGTGAAAAAATTGCATCCAAATATTTTGTTAAAGACCTTGACTGATTTGACTCAGTCTTAAAGTACTAATACGAAAAACTGTAAAATAAAAACTGTGCATGCGTATCGACCGAACATTTGGAACAAGACTGTGATAAGGGAATGAAAAGGACATATTTTACATGAAAACTGATGATGTTGAAAAATTAGAGTAACTAATAATTGTTAATCATTTCAAGCTCGTAGTTATTAGTTATAGTTATGTGAATTCAATTTTGTTACTATGACAGTTAGTTCACAAACTGCTTTTAACAAAATTACGAAAGCCATTAAGAATTCCATGTTGTTCATGTTAATTAAAATTGTTCAATATTGCGTGATCTATCCAAAATCACGTAGAAATGAAAAAAAAAAAATAAAATAAAAAAAAACTATTTAAGAGTTTCCAAAAAAAAACTTTTATTTGAAAACTCATTGACAGCTTGGAAAAAAAGTGTTACAAAAAATGTTACCTCAAACCAAGCACCAGTTTGGAAATAATGTGTTTTTTCTCGATTTCCGTGTTTCAGTGCTGTTGTTTTATTCATGAATGAAAAGAAAATGTTTTAAAACACATTGTTTGTTGCGAGTTATTTGATTATTCATTTGATAATAATAACCCAAAAACTGCATACCTCTGAATTTATTTCACAAAAACAGCATACAAATACAAATGCCCCTATTCGTACGGAGAATCAAAATAATTGATTTATCGGCTCTCATAATTTAAAAAATGGTATAACAATAGGGTGGAATTTTATCAAAAAAAATTTTTTTTTACCTGGTATGGGTTAAAATCACTTCTTTGTACCAAAAATCTCGTGTCAAAATTTAAAGTACAGGATTTGCTTTTTTTTTAATCCCACAAAGTACTCATCTTAAATTTTTATTTTTACTTTTCACTTAATACATAATCGTCAACAGTTTCACTTCACTCTAGTTGCATGATAAAAAAAAGAAATTTAAACATTTTGTACATAAAATTCCATAAAAATGTTAGGTATTTTGCAGCATGAAAAAAAAGGTAGTGTAATGAGATAGTTAAAATCTTGTACAAATAATTTATACTTTTTTTTGATACAGGAAATTGTTTATACAATCATAGGTAAGTAAATCTCACAATAAACTTTTCACTTTATTTTATTATGAATAATTTATCAAAAATATACTTTAAATTTTCATCCCACTTGTTCGAAATTTATTAAGCGTATTGAACGTAATAGTTACTTAAAAACTAACTATGTCATGAATACAAAACAATTTGTGCATTCAAAAATAATCTATAAAAATTAATAGCTAAATCATAAATGACTCAAGATAATTATAAATACACAAAAACAGATACAACAGAAAGGAAACTTTGTACACTTTTTAATAAAATTGTTAATGACTATTTCGCATGCGAGTAAAGCCTCACCGAGCTCTGCTCGTAGTTCCATTAGAATAAACGCAATAAAATATTAACTCACTTCAATGCATATACGTGAATTACAATCGTCGACAATTTGTATATAAGATTAGACACCGTTTGTCATCAGAAATCAAACTTGTAACCATTACCGTTTACTTTGACGTGGGCCACCGACGGTGCAGCTGAATACGCGACTCCGAGTAAATTTGCGCTCTGCTGCTCTTGTTGCTGCAGCTGTTGCTGTTGAACCTGTTCTGGTACGTCGGCTGTTGCAGTTTGCTGCTGAGGTGTTAACCTGGATGCGAACAGTTGAGCGAAGTGAGCCTGCTGTTGTTGGGTCGCTCCATCGACAGGTTGTTCTAATCCTAAGGGAACACGTGACGTGGAAAATTATTTNTTCGTAAAGGACAATTTATTCAAAGTTTAATGAAAAAGCTCTATCGAAATAAATATACGCTTAAAATATGGATTTTCTGTCAATATTACAGTCAGTGATGATAAATCGATAACTTTTTTGTAATTTAGCGCGAATCTTTCATAGCTTTTTAATGATAAAATTTTAGAATTCATCTTTTCTAAAAGTATGATCTTCAAGTCTTGAGCTTATATTTCAATATGAAATATTAACGTTTTTCTTGAAAAAAAAAGAAGAAAAAAATGGTTAATGATACTTTGAGGTTTTTACTTTTTCGAAATAACACGGCCTACATTTTTTTCCGAACAATACACATCTTTGCGAGCAGGATATTCATTTGCTGTAATCTAAATTATAATGGTTTCATTTATCACAAAATCATGTAATCTAGAACATGGCAAGTTGATTAATGTGAAGTACGTATTCAATCAGTTATAACTATGATTATAATAACATACTTAAAAAATCATGAGTTTATAACACGATCAAAATATTTTGTTGTGATAATAATTATGTTTCAAATGACATCCATACATTTTTCTAACACTCTTAGCAAAAAAATGTATGTAGTTGAAATAAATTGCACAGACGCAGGAGCCGAAGTATTGATTTTTGTACTTACTCTACTGTGTCTTTCAGTTTTTTTAATTTTTCACTATGTTAAATATATTTTTTGGAAACCTTTACTGTTTTTAGTTTGAATTAAATTCAAAAATTGTGAGAAAAAAATCTTATTCAAAAGTATTACATCCAGCTGTATTCCCTGCAATATCTTATATTTTTACCGTTTTTAAGATTAAAAAAATTTTTTTATCCACAATATTTGGAATAAACATTCATGATACATAAGAGTTTTATATATGCTACAAATACATAACATACGTTTAATATCGATATTGAACAGTTACTTGAAATCTGAATAATCAAAATGAGATTTTTCAATAGCCGTAGAAAAATTTAAATTATCGTCCACTCAGCATTTGTTCGGGCCATTCATGCATGTAGCAAGTCAGAAAGAAAAGAAACGAAACTCGAGTACCACATGACGCCACGATGAAAGAGAAAGTTTAACAACGGCTCGTGACGTGCCGCGACAAGTTGCTTGGGTGAAAATCGAAAACAGAGTCCAATTAGGTATTCTCCTGGGCAATCGCGACACACCAGCGCCTACACATCTCTAACCGTGCGTGAAATGATAAGGGCATCGAAACATGTCTACTCTTAGTGTATATAGCACATAGTGACTTATTGGCGTAATAGACTGGATATGACTTTTTCTTCATCGTCATGTGCAAGCCACTCCCAATCCACAAATTCTTATTATTTTTTTTTTTACAAACTTTTTCCTGCATTTAATAAGGAGCAATCTTATCATTTTAATAGAATAAGATCACTGGTTTTCTCAAATACTTTTTTCCACTTCCTTATATCTATCTACTTTTAATTTTTTTTTTTTTTTCCTTCATTTTCCTAATTTGCTCCTCCAGAAATTATATGCCACTGAAACATTTGATTTCTGAAGTTATAAAGTACTTACAATGACGATCGGTTGTTTCAAAACGAAGTTTAATTCAAGCTAAAAAATTTTAGACCATCATCTATATTGCTTCAAGTTCTCGCTACTAAACTTTATATAAAATTTTGATGCCTACTGGCTGTGCTGAATGATAAATACCATTCCAAAATTAATTTGATGAAAAAATTGTAAAAATTCCAAATTTCTTTTATCGATTGATTAATGTTTAAATTAAAATGATGTAAAAGTCAATTTCTGTTGAAAATGGGCATTAATTATTTGAAAAACTTCTTCCTACGATTGTGAAAATAATTTTAAATATTGATTCAATAATATTTAAGTATACATTGTTTCTTTTCTAACGACTAAACTACCATTAAAAAAAGGTTTTACGTCACAGAACTATAACATGACTGAAAGAAAAATATACAAGTTTGTCTACAGCTACAACGTAGACGTAAGACAGGTAGGTGTTTATTCTACTTTTTTTCTAGAGTACAAAATTTTCCTCGAAGTAGCACTACTAAAATGTGTATTCCGGTAAAATTTTTTTGCTGCGTTTCTTCACATTTAAACGGATTCTTTATTCAACTTGTTTTGCTGTCTATTGGTGTCAGAATGAATAAAATCTTGCTATCTATTGAACCTTTTTTTTTAATGCATTGAAGAAACTGTTTGCTGGTAATATTATTTACTGTGGATGACAATGCAATGTAATATAAACGTATGGCATAATTTTTTTTAAAGATCTTGTAAATTGAAAGTTATAATAGTTTTCGTCATAGAAGCATCATCACCATCGCACGGGGACTGTTTTACTACTGAGGGGTCCCTTGAGGGCCCAGTAAATGTCTGAATGTCACAAAAAAGCCCTGAGGTAGAACAAACATTTTAAATATAGATTAACTCATTTAAATTTCTTCTGCCCTGCATCTATCGTACGTCTTATCTTACTTGTCTGTCTCTACTTAGGTTTTAGACGATGGACTGCTAGGTTGGAACTCTAATACATTGTTAACTGTTTTGTGTGATTGTGAATAAAAATTGTAACTCAAAAGTTTAAAATAAAAAAATACATGAAAAATATTTTAAATCACTCGAGTTGATGCATCTTCGGTACGTCTTACCTTACTAGTCTGTCTCTACTTAGGTTTTAGACGATGGACTGCTAGGTTGGAACTCTAATACATTGTTAACTGTTTTGTGTGATTGTGAATAAAAATTGTAACTCAAAAGTTTAAAATAAAAAATACATGAAATAGTAGTTTTCGTCGGATAAGTGCCGTCGTCTCTGAGGCTACCTTACGTCCCTCAGACCCTGCTTTACAGGTCCCTCGGGCCGCAAAATAACTAACTTGTATTAATGAATTTTAAAATAGAAAATAATTTTGTCATCGTTAATCAAACCCAGGGTCTCTACTGGTGTGCTGTTATAGAAAATTTATTCAGTGACTATAACTTTTTCATTTTCTATTTTTTAGTTGGTCCTTAAAAGTGTATTTTTATAGTTTTCCAATATTTTGTCATAATATTCATCCACATTATAAAAAACCAATCAGTTGGTTTGACTCGTCAATAGCTTAATAACATTTTTTTCACTACACTTTTAAGCACTCCAAATTCCCAGTAAAAAAGGTTGTAAGTGTGGCCAGGCTTAAACTAAGAACCAATAAAAAAACAGTTTGTAAAAATCAAAACTGTAATATAAAAAACAGCACTCACAAGTCAGATTTGGTGCATTTCCCTATGAAAAATGTGGTAAATGTGATGAGAAATTTTTGAAAATAAAATTTATTCTTTATTATTTTAGAACCCCAGAAGGCACTAATCAACTTTGCTGACAACAAAAAAGGACAAGTGCTCTTACGCTGTCAACACGGTACTTACTTTCAAATTTATTTGACTGTTTTTCATGGGACAATACTACGTTTATAAATTTATGACAAACAATTTTTTCAATAGCCATGCACTGTCCGAAATAACACGACTTACCGGCATTTTTTCACGAACTTCCGAATTTACGTGAGTATAAAAAAGAAGATGAGAGCGAAGGCAGCACACAGATCACACTGTATAGTTGTGTAGTAGCACTGACTGTGACGAAAATCGAAGCTTGATTCAAACGGCCAGCCTCGCCGTGGGGCGTTAAATATGAGACGCAGAAAGCCGCGCTTTGGGGGGGAAACACTTTGGGCCTACGTGTTCCGAATGTTGTACATTACTTCTGTTTAGTTCCCATTGATTGAACTTTTTCTTTTTTTTTTTTTTTTTTTTTTCAGCAGGGGATAAATAAATAAATTCAGTGGCACGAGGATGAGGAATTTTTTTTTTTTTTTTTTTTTTTCCTTCCTTTCTCTGGTATTTTCTGTCTCTTTTTGGCACACGCTACTTTCACCATTCCATCATTTATATGCGTGTACATGCGTGCACGAGCCAACGCAAAATTTTGGGAGTGTTGATAATAAAACCGAATAATATTTTTTCCCTGTTTTCATCGCAAGTTACGCTTTTGTTTCGTAACGATTCATTTGGTTTGCCTTTTGTGTACCTGACCGAAACTTCCCAAAACAAATGGCGTTGAATACGAAAGAAAGGCTTGTACCTACAATGCTACTCACGTTGTCGTATTTTCGAGGCTGGTAAATGATTATGAGTTACTTGCTATTTTTAGGGCGTATGTGTGAGTAACTATTAGATTGAGTGTGAAACTTTGCTTTTAATTTACACATTATTTTAAAATATTTAATAGCAAAAGAATTCATGCATCCCCATAAAGATCTGAACTTCTTTTTATTTTTAAAATACTTACACACTAAATTGTAAAATTATCTAATTCGGTCTTTGGCCCGTTAGTTAAATAAATAAATAAAGCATAATTCTTAGCAAAGCGATAAGAAAACCGCTTCTAATCAATCGATACAATGCCCCCTGAAGCTCCATTCTTCTATTTTTTGTTTTAATTGTCCCTCTTAAGTAAAAAATATGATCCCAAAAGTGTAAACGCTTTACGAGATCCCTTGAGTCTGGTAATCCTGAGAAACATGTCTATTAATATGTCCTTAAAAAAATTGAAAACTAAGATTTATTACATTCTACGGTAGGTGAAAAACATTAATACTCAACAAATGAAAGGAAGCTAAGAAGTTGTCAACGATAGACTGTGTATTGTAATGGAACAGACACAGACAAATGTTTCTACTCTAGCTTAGATATGTATTAATAGAAAAATAATAATTTGCACATATCAGGGTGTGCTGAAATTTTTTTTTATCCAAGCTTTCATTTGTGAAGAGAAATCTTATTTTTACGAGTAGAATGGAACAAGTATTGCTGCAATATTTTTTTTGAAAATGATAACCGAAACCTCTGAAGTTACAAGACTTGGCATTGCTGTGGCTCCTTCCATACTTCTGAATATAAATTAAACTCCAAAG